ATCCCACCCCCACCCCCGCCACCCCCCCCAAAAAAAATTAAAAATAAAAAAAAAAGTACAAATTCCAGCGATTTACAAATTACTGCTGCTAGAGGAAGGCTCACCTAGAAAAAAACGTGTCTATGCTGACACTAAAGCCACATTTAATAGGTAGATATTCTAGTGTACAAAAAGAAAACATAACCCAAACCAAAAAGAGGCTCGAGGATAGGTAGTATTTTTTTGTCAGTATTTTTTTCTCAGTATTCTTTTTCTCAGTATTTTTTTCTCAGTGTCATCAAACAACGTATCCCTCCTAGAGGTTTAATGATCGATGCGTTTATCATTTATTTTTCCATCCAGTCCTTTTTTTGTTGCTTTTTTTTCACGCGTGTTTTTGCGTTTCTTCCCGTTTTTTTTTTTTATTATTTTTTTTGTTATTATTATCACTACTACTGTTCTGCATCTTTACATAAATACCCCTTCAGTTCAGTTTTATACAACTAATACTTTTTTTTTTTTTTTTTTTTTTTTTTTTTTTTCCCTTTTTCCCTTTTTTTTTTTTTTTTTTATTATTTTTTTTTCCTTCTCTCTCTCCCCGCATCCATCCACCTCTCCCCCCTTTTCACTCCTCCTCATCCTCCTCGGCGTCCGCCTTTTCCTGCCCGCCGGAGCCGGGGCAGGAGGTTTTATTCTCCTTTTTCCACTTCATGCGGCGGTTCTGGAACCAGATTTTGATCTGGCGCTCGGTCAGGCACAGCGAGTGCGCGATCTCGATGCGGCGCCGCCGCGTCAGGTACCGGTTAAAGTGGAATTCCTTCTCCAGCTCCAGCGTCTGGTACCGGGTGTAGGTCTGGCGGCCGCGTTTTCTGTCCGTTCCTGCCGAAAAAAACCAAATTAGGGTCAGCTCGGGGGGGTTTTTGGCCTGTTTTGGTGTTTATTTTTATTTTTATTTTTCATTTTTTATTTTTTTCTTCTTGTCGCACAGCCCCAAAACTGCTCCTCTGCGGCGCCGAAGACAAAACCACCACCCGCGCCAATATTTCCTTTAATTTTGAGGCGTTTCCTTCTGCTCGAGCCTTTCCCCGCCTCGCCCTGGCGCTCGCAGCCCCCCAAACACCCCAAACACCCCCAAATTTCATTTGCCTCTGTCTCGGGGCCAGCAGAGTCTCAGAGCCAACAACAAAGTTCAGAAAGTTTCCTGCCCTCCCAGCCCCGGCCAGGCTCCGAGTCCCTGCCTCCATTTTCAGCCAGGCACCAGAAATTTGGGATGGTTTGGGGGGAAATGTGGGGTGGTTTGGGGGGAAATTTGGGGTGGTTTGGGGGGAAATGTGGGGTGGTTTTGGGGAAAATTTGGGGTGGTTTTGGGGAAAATTTGGGATGGTTTGGGGGGAAATTTGGGATGGTTTGGGGGGAAATTTGGGGTGGTTTGGGGGGACATCAGCGTGGAAACAGCCGGGCAGAGGGACAGGGACAGGACAGGGACGGGGACAGGGACAGGGACAGGGACAGGGACGGGGACAGGGATCGGGACAGGGATCGGGACATTGGGGACAGGGACAGGGACAGGGACAGGGACAGGGACAGGGACAGGGACAGGGAC